GCCGGCCATTGTGGTATTGTGCGCGGCGCTGTGCTGGCTGCGTCGAAATTTAACCCATTAAGGACGTTGCGTTAACGCTGCACTTCTTTTTTCTACTTCATTTCATCACGGTTAGCTCTTATTGGCGAAGAGCATTACGTGGATTTAGTAGAAATTGTTTTCGTTACCTATCATTTCTTCCGTCTGGAGTCTAGAATATCTTGAAATTTTGTCTCGAACAATGAGAATTCTTTTACATATTTTTCGCGCGTTCGATGTACAGTCTAGCATCGAAGTATATTTTTTATGTTATTGTGTCTTGGTGTACGACGAAAGTTGTTAGTGTTGTTGAAGCATGCTTCAGGAGACCTTGATTGATTTTCATAGCAATATATCGAATAAAACAATATGTTGTAGATTATTAATGGACTGTGAATGTCTATGAAAATGCATATTTATTTAGAAAATTGGTAGACCAATGGGATCTGGATGTCAGGAGCAGATGATTCGAAAAATATATTTTTTGTTAAATTAATTTAGTCTAGTGGTCGGTACTTGTATCATAACGAGATAGTGTTGATAGCAGTTACATGTGTATCAATATTATTCTGAATATACGCCACAGCAAATCATGTTTTCAAAACATATTGAACTGGTAATTATTAGTATTATTAATAGATATTAATAGTATTATTATTAGTATTATTAATATTTAGTATTAGTATTAGTAGTAGTTAGTATTAGTATTATTAATAGTTATTAATAGTATTATTAATAGTTATTAATAGTATTATTATTAGTATTATTAATAATTAGTATTAGTATTAGTAGTAGTAGTAGTATTAGTAGTAGTTAGTATTAGTATTATTAATAGTTATTAATAGTATTATTAATAGTTATTAATAGTATTATTATTAGTATTATTAATAATTAGTATTAGTATTAGTAGTAGTAGTAGTATTAGTAGTAGTTAGTATTAGTATTATTAATAGTTATTAATAGTATTATTATTAGTATTATTAATAATTAGTATTAGTATTAGTAGTAGTAGTAGTATTAGTAGTAGTTAGTATTAGTATTATTAATAGTTATTAATAGTATTATTATTAGTATTATTAATAATTAGTATTAGTATTAGTAGTAGTAGTAGTATTAGTAGTAGTTAGTATTAGTATTATTAATAGTTATTAATAGTATTATTATTAGTATTATTAATAATTAGTATTAGTATTAGTAGTAGTAGTAGTATTAGTAGTAGTTAGTATTAGTATTATTAATAGTTATTAATAGTATTATTATTAGTATTATTAATAATTAGTATTAGTATTAGTAGTAGTAGTAGTATTAGTAGTAGTTAGTATTAGTATTATTAATAGTTATTAATAGTATTATTATTAGTATTATTAATAATTAGTATTAGTATTAGTAGTAGTAGTAGTATTAGTAGTAGTTAGTATTAGTATTATTAATAGTTATTAATAGTATTATTATTAGTATTATTAATAATTAGTATTAGTATTAGTAGTAGTAGTAGTATTAGTAGTAGTTAGTATTAGTATTATTAATAGTTATTAATAGTATTATTATTAGTATTATTAATAATTAGTATTAGTATTAGTAGTAGTAGTAGTATTAGTAGTAGTTAGTATTAGTATTATTATTAGTATGATTAATAATTATTAGTATTTCGAATTCGAACAATTCAGTTTTATAATTGGAGCAACAATTTTCGCGCAGATATTCCTGATTCTTTCTGCGTAAACATCCCCAGTCCAATTATCATCGAATCAATGATTGAAATGAAATTATTATAATTAAAAAATTACAGTATAATACGCGGTTTTTGTACGTTTGTACATTCATTATTTATGTGGCACCGATCAAGTGCTCCCGATAAGATTCTACTCACTGTCAACGTCCTTGTCTCAACGTTTCTACGAAAAAAAAAGTAGTTCGAATTCTGTAAGAATCGCGTGCGCTAGATTTTCAGTGGATACTCTAACACGCTGTCCTCCTGTTGGCCCAGCAGTTTGAAGCGAGGCTCGCCAAGGCGTGAGCTAATGAGGTGCTCCGGCTCTCTCGTCGCTGGCACGGCATCATGAACTATTAGCGAGGCGTCACCTTCTTCTTGTTCGGTTAACGAGTAGGATGCACTATTTGCGTCGACGGAACGGGACGGTGTCCACCGTCGAATAGCGACAAACACGGGGACACGGTTTCGCGCGTTCGATCGGCGTCGTCGGGATCGAACTATTAACGGGAAATTAATTGCAAGGAAGTTGCATGGATAAACACCGCTTCTTCGAGCGCGGCTTTTCCGCGTAAACATTAATTACTGTCGTCGCCGGAACGAACGTCTCGTGCCCCAGGCCCGGGCTGGTAAAAAGTCCAGACACGGGCAGGCGGTGATTTAATTGCACGTTGTAGCCGGCGGAATTTATTCTTCCTGGAATATGCATTAGCCGACCGATTAGAATTCATCAACTTTCTCGCGTGCTGCGCCGCCGGAGCCGAACCGTTCCTTATTATTATTTCTTCCGAACGGCTTTTTTCCCGCGTTTTCTTTTTTTGCCGCGGCGCGACAGCGAGAAACGCGGAATAATTGCCGCACGCTTTCGCATATAAATGTGGAAAGAGTCGCGACGCGGCGGTCAGATTAGAAATAATTACCCCTGCGCGCCGTGCTCTCTTTGTTTACGCGCGATAACGTCTTTCGACGTGCGCGCACGCAAACCCGATAAACCGGATTTTAGGCATTAACGAGTCGACGGCGCGCGGCGCACGGCCAGACGCGTTTTTAGTATTCATAGCGGACGCGTCACAATTAATGAATACCGAAGTATTCATTTTCGCTGTCTGCCACCCGTCCGCCCCTCTTCGACCCCGGGTTTAGACGATTAAATAGTCTACTTGTTTCGTCTCGATGTCCATGATTTACCGCGCGTCCCGGCTACGCTTCTCGAGCAGCGCGCCGTTTCACGCGAACTGTGTACGCGGACCGGGGCGTGTAAATGATTCGCTAAATTACCGTTTAAACGACTTTGTGCGAGTAATTATAGTGTTACCGAGTTCCGGATAGATTCCTGCTTGCGAATGTATCAAAGTTGTCCAGGCACGATAAGGATTTCGTAGTTAGGCAGAACTTCTCCGGAGTACTTATGATGGTAATAGAGCTGGTAGAAATAACAGTGGCGGTTAGAGTAGTTATGGAAATAGTTGGAATTAAATATTAGAATTAAATTTAAAGAAAATTCGTTGATCGAGTTGGAATAAATTTCAATTTATCTTGTTGCATTACAAATTGTTCTATCGTATTCTATGAAAATGAAAAATATTATTGAACTTTTCACGCGATTTTTCTTTTACACGAAAATTAAGCAATTGGATTTCTTAGTTACAGTGACTAAATTAAATTCATATAGATTTGTGTAATAACTTTTACTGTAAATTTATCGCTTTAGATCGTCGAGTGCGAACGTAACACGTGTATTAATCTATCAGAGAATTCGACTGTTGATGCTTAGGATAATCGAAGGCCTATTATAATCCTTTATGGACAAGGAGTTTTTGGAATACTAAAAGCATTTCCCTCAGAAAACTAAATCTGATTATTTGTTACACTGCAAAAAGAAATGAATTGTTATTTATTGAATTTGTTAAGAAAGCAATATTTTTCTGAAGTATAGCCAACAACGATATGTCGTTGTTCGACACTAAAAGGGTTAAACACGCGCGCACACACAAAACTTTCAGCAAGTTGAAAATAATTTATCGATACAGTACGTTATTCCTAATTGTCCTTCAGCTTGTAAACAAAAATGGTAAATTTTGGAAGAGGAGAAACGATTATTCGCCTCGTTTTTATAGTTATTGACAATCGGCAACTGTAAAAACGAGCCGCGGGCCTCCTCTTCCCAAATTGTCCATTTTTGTTTGCAAGCTGAGGGACAATTGGGGAGAATTTACTGTACTCCGAAGCTCTACCAATCTCTTATTTGAGTTAGACTAAACTTACATTAACACATTGTCTGCCAGCGATGAGTTTATAATATCCGGAAGTTCGCAATTTACAGTTAAAAGTTTTGTAATAAATTGGTTAGCAGCCAACAAGTTATCTCCAGTAACGTTATCTAATAATTTCGTTTGGAATTATCATTTCGAGGAAAATTCTTCTGATTTCTTTTAGTACCGAAAAATTTTCCCTAATTGACGCTCAGCTTGTACACAAAAAATGGACAAATCGGGAAGAGGAGATACGATTATTCGAGCCTCGCGTCTCGTTTTTATACTTGTCGATTATCAGCAACTATAAAAAAACGAGACAAATTATCGTCTCTCCTCTACTGAAATTGACCATTCTTTATTACAACCTGAAGAACAATCGGGTAGAATTAACTGTACTCCGAAGCTCCGGCCACCTCCTATTCGAGTTAGAAACGAAAACGAATACGTGAGAGATGAGCCCCTCGAAAGTTCGCATTCAGACGTAGCCGGTTATCGCGGCGAATCTCGAGGTCGTTCGGCGGCAGCAATCGAGCCGAAGCGCAAATCCATTTCCCATGCTCATTCCCGCGGAACTACATCTCGCGGAGCCGTTCCCCATGATTCCTCCATAGCGGGTCTGTTGAACAAGCGGCAGTAAAACTCGGGTGCGAGCGGCTGCTCGCGGAGCGAACCAGCTTACCCTCGCGGCATCCAGCCCCATCAGTTAGGAGCCGGCCTCTCTCCCGCGATCCATCGTTATAACAGCTATTCGCAGATACAAGCTGGCGTGTAACGCCGTCGTAAAGACAGAGCTGCGCCCCCGTAGCGAGGCTCGAGGGCCCACAGCTCGGCCTTGCCTCTGTTTGGTTTCGCCTCTGTGGTTCGTGTCCCCTCTACGCCCGGCTCGATCGCGATCCGATGGCGCGCACAGCCAGCGTAACAGAAGGTGCCCGGTAGATACGAATGACGAATGGTTGGGTATCGGGACTGCGCCTCTGCGAGTACTATGCTATCGAAAATGAAAAAGCGTCGCTTACCGTGCTAGGTTCGGGCCGACGTTTCCTGCGTCGAAGGTAGAGCTGGCCGTGATATCCGCGTCCGGGATCGCTCTGGATTCCATGCCGAGCGGCGCGATGCATTGGGCTGCGAACAAACGAAACGATCCTGCAGGTTAAAGCTCCCACGAATTTACATAGGGGTGTATGTCGGTGTGCCCGGCTGGCCTCCCCTTCCCCCAGCCCACCCCCCTGCCCAGCGCCCAGCCTCCTCGCCCGGCAGAAGGGGCCCCCTTCTGGATCATAAACGGCTAAATAACCAGCTAACCGAGATGAATCCGCCGGATAGAGCCGGTTTACGTTCTTGTATACGACCGCATCTCCTTTCTCTTCCTTCGAGATGGGAGCCAGGGCGCGGGGAGGAAGGACTACCTCAACGTTTCCCTATCTCCGGGACCGATCAAATTGTTTCATAGGGGAACACGGCAGCGTTACGAGGACGCAATGTATCCTGCTACCAGGAACGGACTATCTTGATACAATATTGTCCGGCGCGAGCGTTCTCCCCCCCCCCCCCA